GGTTGTTCCGACAGCGGGGGGGTTTGTAGGGAGGGCAGCGGGGCTGGGCAGGCCCGGGGGTCGTGAGGGGTGCGGGCAGCCGGGATACAGCCAGGGATACAGCCAGGGATACAGCCAGGGATACAGCCGGGATACAGCCAGGGATACAGCTGGGATACAGCCGGGACACAGCCTGGGATACAGCCCGGGATACAGCCAGGGACAGAGCTGGGATACAGCCAGGGATACAGCCGGGATAGAGCCGGGATACAGCCAGGGATACAGCCGGGATAGAGCCGGGATACAGCCAGGGATACAGCCGGGATAGAGCCGGGATACAGCCAGGGATACAGCCGGGATAGAGCCGGGATACAGCCAGGGATACAGCCGGGATAGAGCCGGGATACAGCCAGGGATACAGCCGAGACACAGCCAGGGAGGGCTTGGGAACTGCGATGACTTGTGAGGAGCGTTGAGCAGTTGCTGAGGAGGGACAGAGGTTGCCCAGAGCGTCTTCGGTTGCTAAGAGAAAAAAAAAGGCATTAAAAACCCCGTGGTTACTGGGGTGAGATCACTGCAAGTCTGATTAACCTGAAGCAGGCAGGTTTCACGGAGGTGTGGGGAAGGCTTTTCTGACTTCAAACATAACTGAAGCTCAGAAATAAACTACCCAGGGCAATGTAGTGTCTCCGTCGTTGGAGTGATTCAAGTGAAAGGAAAACCTGCCAGGAGCGGGGTGGGTGTGGGGGGGTTTGTGTGAGCACAGGGTTTGACTGACACGTTAGGGTCCTTTCAGCTTCTCCCACTGCCTGCTTGCACACAGCCACTGCTCAGACTGCCCAGCTTCCTTGGTCTGTGTCTGAGAATCTTGGTTTGGGGACAATCTCAGCTCGTAGCTGTAGGAAAACTAAATGCAGAATGGGGGTTGGGAGTGGGTTGTAAGTGGAAGGAGAATTTGTCTTTTCAGGGGTCCCCCCTGCTCCCTTAGGAGGATGGTGCAGGGAGTGTCCTGGGTGAGCTCGCAAGGCTGAGTTCTGCCTGGCTTCATTCTTCCCACAGCTGAGGCTTTGAATTCCTGGTGACCCCAGTGTGGCCCTGGGGGCTCCTTGCCTAACAAAGCCCTGGCATGGATGCTGCTCTTGCCCTGAGGCTGCAGAGTGTTCCGGAGCTGTAGGCTGGCTGCTCCTAGCTGTTTCCTTTCCAGGATACTCTGGGCTTTGGCCTTCTGCCTGTTAGCATGATTTGGAGCAGAGAGCTTTTTATTTTTGTGGTGTTTGTTGTTTTTTTTTTAACATAGGCAACATGTCCTGCATTTAACAGCTATGGGAAGGTGTTGGGAGGGGAGACTTGGCTTAGGCAGCACAAAGGGACTTTGCCTGAAAAGCTGCAGGAGTTTTCATTTTTGTGGAAACCATCTTTTAGGCAAAGCTTTCAAATTTATCCCACCGTGGGTTGTTTTTTTGGTCATCAATTAATGTATTTATAGATAAGTGTGTTTTTAAAAAACGGATAGAGGCCTTATAGAATGTTTTGGGTTGGAAGGGACCTTAAAGACCATCTAGTCCACCTCCCCTGCATGGGCAGGGATGCCTCCCACTAGGCCAGGTTGCTCCAAGCCCCATCCAGCCTGCCCTTGGCTCAGACCACCACCTGAAACCATTATAAATTACACCCAACCAAGGAACCCCCGTCTGAAACTGACATGACTGGATAACTTCTCCCACTGAAACATGCTTGTGAAAGAAACAACATTGTGGGGTTTCTCTTTCTCCCCCTCTGATGGTTTCCAAAGCTCCATCCCCTGTGTCACCCCGTGCACGTAGCACTGTGTGGATATGGCTGATGACAACGAAGACCTGCAGGCAGATGAGGAGCTCCCAGCTCCAGCTGAGGACAACTTTGAGCAGCTGGAGAACGACAGCCCTGCCGAGCGCAGCGGGCACGTGGCAGTCACTGATGGGCGCTGCATGTACGTCTGGGGAGGCTACAAGGTAAGCTGCTCTCCTGGGTGAGCCAGCCTTCTTGCCACCCGTGGGGCTGGTCGTTATATCCCATCCTTTTGTAAAATTATCCCTCCCCCAGAACAGAAAAGCTCTGGTTCATAGAGTAGGATATGAAACTATGATGAGGGGAGACCTCATCACCCTCTGCAACCACCTGAGAGGGAGCTGTACAGAGGCAGGTGCTGGTCTCTTCTCACAAGTAAACTGGTGATAGAAGGAGAGGGAATGGCCTCAAGCTGCACCAGGGGAGGTTTAAAGAACTTTTTCACCGAAAGGGTCATCAGACCTTGGAACAGGCTGCCCAGGGTTGAGTCCCCATCCCTGGATGTTAAAAGTCCTCTGGATGTGGCGCTTGGGGACATGGCTCAGTGCTGGGCTTGGGAGAGCAGGGTTTAATGGTTGGACTCAGTGATCCTGAGGGTCTTCTCCAGCCTAAGTGGTGCTATGATTTGAAATGCTGAAATCAATCATGAGCCTCTAATGGCAGACAGCTTTCTGTGGGATGCAGGGTGGTGTTTGCCTTTGTCAGCTCATTTGTCAGCTGGAAGAGAAGGAAATACTCTCTAATTGGAAATGCCCATTTTGCAAAGTAGTGCTTTAATTTACAGCATTAACAACACAACTATACATTATATACCTGGTTGTTTATCTCACTGGAGTGTGTGTGTGTGTCCTGCAGGCAGAACCGTGTCACTTCATGGGTTGCACAGGAATGAAGATGACCTGTCAGTGAACTCAGTAAATAAATCAGCAGCTCGAGACAGAGCTTTGGTGTATTGTTCTGCTGGTGTCATGCAAGGGGTGGAGGAACTAAAAGGGAAATTTTCGCTCATTTATGCACCCTAGATAACCTGCATGGGCTATGGAAAGGAGGTTTAGCTTGCATTCACCCTGTGTCTGGCTTTGGTGAGAGGTTGTCTGGTCCCCAGCAGAAGCTGAAATAGGTTGGTACCTGCTCTCCTAGGGCTGCTGTGCAGGTGAGGGGCACAGGAGTGCAGCAGGCACTGCTCCTGCTATTTTCTGGGCAGAGATCAGGTCTTGGAGGGGCTGTGAACATTCCCAGGAGTCTGTAATTCGGTATGTTGAGCATCCTTCTGATGCTGCTTTTCTGACCTGTTTTGCAGAATGCACAAGTTAGGGGATTTTATGACTTCTATCTGCCTAGAGATGAAATATGGATCTACAACATGGAAACTGGAAGATGGTACAGTAAATAATTAACTTAATTGCTGTTTTTTTGTGGGGAAAGATAAATTCTGAAACTGTTACAGAAAACATGCTCAGGGGCTGTGAACAGAGAGATCTGGTTTGTTCCCTCCTATCAAGCTGTTGAATAAGCATGTAAAATATTTCCAAAATGTTGGGGTTTTTTTTCTGTGGAAGCAGCAAATACATCTTCACTGGTTGAAGTAGGAAGGGCAGCTTGGACAGGCAGCATGGACAGGAGTATGTGATCAACAGTGTGAAGTGTTTTGGGATGCCTGGTATAGGATATAGCACATGAAAATTGTGTTTGTACCACTTTTGATTACAAGGATACATTGGTGAGGGAACCCATGTTGAGTTCTTTATTTGTCATTTTAAGAACTCATTTTTAAATGATGCAGCCAAATAAACTAGTGTGTCATCCTGAATCACTGGCATCCTGGAAGTTGGATGTAACCTGCGTGCAAGAGAAGGGAGTCCAGTGCTCCAGTTCTGTAGCTAGCCAGGGCATTGTGCTGCAAATCCAAATCCCCTCAGGCAGAGCCTTGGACCCGGACTGGGAGTTCACTTTTGTGGTTATAATATTCACAAACATTTAAGAATCCAGCAGCAAAATAGAAGCCTTCAGTTTAGGAGAGTTGCATCCTCTTTGCCTGAGGATCTTTCTGGGATTTTGAAGGTGAAGGGCATACCAAACTCCTGAACTGGGCCAACAGGATTCCTCCCCCACAAAACATGTATTAATTAAATTGCCCATTCCCCACCCCCTCTGTCATGCCAGGTTAGTGTTGTAAATTGCTAAACCTGCAAAGGGTGTGAAGAACTCAGAACTGAAAGGTCCACAGGTGACCTGTCACAATTAAAAATGTACTGGTAGCGTTATAAAATACATCTCCAGATCAAATAATTGTTGTTCATTTTTATCAGATAATATGTTTTAAACTGTGCTTCTAGGAAGAAGAGTAAAACAGAGGGAGATGTTCCACCTTCCATGTCTGGGAGCTGTGCTGTGTGTGTAGACAGAGTGGTGTACCTCTTTGGAGGACACCATGCACGTGGCAACACCAACAAGGTTAGTAACTTCAAGGCAAACCCCTTCTCACAAATAAGTTTCTCCTCATTAGGTTCTGCTCCCATTTCTTTATAAAGTAGAGGTGGCCTTTTCAGTTAATTAAGTCCATCCAAAGCAAGAAAGGGGTAAGCTTAAATCACAGAAACATTTTCTTCTGAATGACTGGACAGGTTAGATCTTGTTTCAGAGCTTAAATAACAAGGGATGCTGATCGTGGATCCAGTCACTGTGTCCTACATGACTTCTGCAGCAGAATATTTGCATTTCCTGGCTGTATCTCAAGCTCCTGGAAGCAGATAACCAGCTCCCTCATCCTGTCAGCAGCTTCCCCACATGTGACTAGTTGAAATCACATTCTTTTTGAGCTTGCCTGAGAGGTTTTCACTGACAAAACATGGAGCTTACTGCTGGGATCTTTAATGCAGGCAGGTGATCAGCTGCCTGACTCCTACCTGTTCAGTGGATTAGTTTCTGCAACAGGTCAGATAACATGTTTGGGTGTGTTTGGATAACAAATCTCAGCTCTGCATCATTCCACATGGTGATTGCACTCTGGTAGCTTGACAGCACTGAAGAAACACCCTGACCTACTATTTATTTTGGCTGCAGTCGTTCTTGAGCAATTCACCCCAGAACATTGCTCCTTTTGAAAGATGGGGATTTCCTGGGTTCTGAAATAGTAGCAGGATGTGATTTGTAACTGTTCTGTAGCTGTTGGAAATGTTATTCTTCTCTGAAGTCTCTGATTATATTTTCTGGTGTTCTGGAAGTGTGGTTTAAATTAAACAGGGGGGCTTTATTTGCCTCTTCAGTATAAAGTGAAAGTAGCTTAATGCTGTGTTTGCAGTCAGTCTGAAACAAACTACATTTATAAAGTGTGACTTCCTTCCTTCCTGCTCTGGTATTCTTACATTTAGGTTAGTTTATAGATGTGTATCAGCTAATTCTGTCCATGTAAGATGGTGTAACACACCGAGAAGGGGTGATGCCATAAAAAAGACTTTATTTTTTCTTAGCCTTTATGGTAAGACAGTTACTACTGTGTAAGCACCTTCCTTTATCCCATTACTGCTGTTGGATGGAGCAACCCAATATCCATAGTCCTGTTATTTTGGTAAAATGTGTTTGGAGCTTGAGTCTGTAAAAAGATAAGGATCTTTAGATCGGTATTTTGTTCCAAACTTTGTCAGTGCTCTGTGCAGCTAGGAAAAGAGCTTTTAAAGTGTGGGTATACTAAGATATGTGAATTAAAAATGAATATTTTAATCAGGCTTCAGCTTTAAGCCAACTGTGTGGCTAAAAAAACACTTTTTATTTTCTACAGTTCTACATGTTAAATTCCAGATCCACGGACAAAGTGCTGCAGTGGGTCAGAGTAGAGTGTCAGGGGGTGCCCCCTTCGTCGAAGGACAAGCTTGGTGTTTGGGTGTACAAAAACAAGTAAGGCTCCAGCAACAGTCAGCACAGCCTGTCTGTGTGTGTGTTTGCTTTTTAATCACTCCTTTGTTGTGTCACTTCTGTGTCTTTGTTTGAACAAGAGTGCAGAAGGATTTCTTGCCTGCAGCACCTGTGTGCTTCAGGGAGAGGCTGGATTTCTGCCCCAGCCAGCCTCCAACTGCTCTGTCCTTTTCATGTTGAAAAGCCCAAAAAGTCCCTGCCAGTCTGGGTGTATGTGAGGACCAAAGTCTCTGTGAGTCACAGTCCAAGGTGTGGGCTCCTCAAGGGCAGGTCTGCCATGGGGTGTTCTCCATCTTTGAAGTCTTTGCATCGTGGTTACTTGAGCAGTGTCATTCCTCTTGCATCAGGAATAGTGTGGCCAGCAGGTCTAGGGAGGTGAATGTCCCCCTGTGCTTGGCACTGGTGAGGTCACACCGTGAGAACTGTGTCCAGGTGTGGGTGCCACAGTGTGAGAAGGACAGAGAGGGGCTGGAGTGGGTACAGGGAAGGGCAGCAGAGCTGGAAAAGGGCCTTGAGCATAAGGCTTAAGAGGAGCAACTGAGGGAGCTGGTGCTGTTTAGTCTGAAGAAAAGGAGGCTGAGGGGAGACCTGATGGCTCTGCAACTGCCTGAGAGGAGGTTGTAAGAAGGGCAAGTGCTGGTCTCTTCTCACAAGGATCAAACAACAGGATGACAGGAAACAGCCTTAAGTTGTGCCAGGAAAGGTTTAGATTGGATCCTCAGAACAATTTCTTCCCCAAAGGGCTGTCAGGCCCTGGCCCAGGCTGCCCAGGGCAGGGGGGAGTCCCCATCCCTGGAGGGGTTTCAAAGCCAAGTAGATGTGGTGCTGAGGGACATGGGGCAGTGGTGGCCTTGGCAGGGCTGGGGTGATGGTTGGACTTGATGATCCTAAAGATCTTTTCCTTCTGTAGATTCTATGATTCTGTTCTGTGATTCTATAAATTATTCTTCTCAGAAGCTTGTTCTAGGGTTTCCCAAACACAGTCTTTTGGTCACATCTTGTGGGACAGCTCATGTTTCTCTGAAAGCTGAAGAGCAGAAGCCATTTGAATATTAAAATTGCATCTGGTGTTTTCAGCGATGCACATGCTTGCTTTGGTGTGTTGTGCTGGTTGCACAGAACAGGAATCTGTTAGATGATCTGCTGATTATGTTCTCTCATTTCATGTGCTGGGATAGTGTCCCAGAGATGCCAGAAGGCTTTTTGCCATTGCAAACTGTGGAAAAGATGGGGAAGACAAGGAGAAGGTGTTGAAGCTGGATGAGCTGACATGCAAAACACTGCTGTTGCCTTGCACTCTCCTCCCCTATCAGTGCAGTGCTAGTCCCTAAGCAGGGAGCTGTGTGATGGGATCATTCCAGCCTCCTGGCACTGGAGGATAGGCCAAGGAAAGCCCCTGTTGTAGGAAGGTGTCTTCTGCTCCCACAAGCTGGCTGTGTCCCAGCTGCTCAGGAGGTTGCAGGTGGAATTGAATTGTCTCAGGGGAGGGCAGGAACTTCTGGCTCTCTTCTTAGGGCTTCTACCCAGGGCTGGTTTCTCACAGGGTTCCTGGCTTACAGAGGACAGGACTCCAAAATGCTGTGGTGCAGGTGACAACTCACATGGCCAGAATTGTCCCCTTGCAGGAGAAGCTGGAATGGGTGGTGCCCACAGAGCAGGACTCTCTCCACAGGCTCCTGGTGTGGGCAGTGCTGGTGGGCAACGTGATACCAGGAGCTAAGAAGGTCTGGGGTCAATCTGTGGTGACAGTCAAGGGCCTCTAGTTCTTCCTTGGGCACAACTGGCAGGGGTTGCATATTCTTACTGTCTTGTCACATCAGGGTAGAATAGTCACATGACCTACAAAACCTTACCAGGACAGCACAGACATCATCTGCTTCTGAGCACCTCTGCTTTTGGCTGGGTAGTCTCTGGCTCTGCTGAGGCAGAGGCAGCCAAGGATGGAGCTCCTGTTGGAGTCACATCTGATGGTTTTGGTGCATAACACTGCAGGTGCCTGTGCTGCTTTGTCCATTGCTGGAAAGAAAGCTCACTGGTTGTTGTAGAGTCTCCTTCCCTGGAGACTTTCAAGACCAGTCTGAGTGTGTTTCTAAGTGACCTGCCCTAGATTCTGTGGTGATCCTGCTCTGGCAGGGGGGTTGGGCTCGATGGTCTCCAGAGGTCCCTCCCGACCCTGAGCATTCTGTGATTCTGTGATTTGCTGTAGAGACTCATGAAGGAGTTACCTGAGGTGATGGCATTCAGTTTCTTGATGTGGAGAAAAAGCTAATTGCTACAGTACTTGATGTGATCAGTTCAGATATAAATCTGTGCAGGAGTGGAGCTGTGGATGTTAAATGGTGTCAGTTGTTTTCTGTTACTTCATCACTTGATTAGACTTTCTGATAAGACCACACCATTCATTTCTAGTGAGTGCTAAAGCCCAAATGTGTAACTTAAACGTTAAAAAAACCAACAGAGGAGTGACTGCTCAGAGCAGCTGTTCTTCAGGCTTTGAAACAAAATGTGTAAGTGCCAAGAGAAATGTCTCACCCCAGAAAAACTCCCTAAAAACTTCCCAGGCAGCTTCACTGCTGGAGGATCTGCGTGGTCTCCTCCTGCCCAGCACAGTGACTGTGCCCAAGTTGTGATGCTTTCCCTTCCCTTCTTCCAGGACTGTCTGAACATTTTGGGCTGAGGGAAAGTGGGCAGAGGGGCTTGGGAAGTGTGCAGGTGGGAAGGTGTGGGAATAAACCCCTGTAGCTGCTGTGTGGGAGCCCCAGTAGCCAAGGCTGAAGTCCAGTCACCAGGCAGCAGACCTGGTGGCTTCTCAGTTTGGAAATGGGAGCAAAGCTTGGAAGCCCAAGGCCTGGGAAGCAGCTGCAGAGGGATTAAGTGTGGGTGCTGGATTTGTTTAGGCAAGAAATGGGGCCCCACACCTGGCAAACTTGCATTGTAGGCAATACTGGAGGTAGTGAAGCCAAAGGAGCTTCCCTGGATTTTCTGTCCTCTTGTTTGAGCACAGCCTGTACAGAACTGTTAAGCTGCAGCAAGAGACGTGGTAGCATTTTTGACAGATCTTGGTGCATCTTTTGTTTCAGGCTGATATTTTTTGGAGGCTATGGGTATTTTCCTGAAGGGAAACAACGGGGGACTTTTGAATTTGATGAGACCTCTTTTTGGGTAAGCAAACCTGAAAGTAATTTCTATTTCAACTTTAATATTTAATTCGTGCTTATTAACACCTGTTGCTTATTTAATATTTCTAAAGAATTCAGGTCTTCCTAGAGGGTGGAATGACCACGTGCATGTTCTGGACACTGAGACTTTCACTTGGAGCCAGCCTATAACTACGGTAATTATTGCTTTCATATCAGTTATGTCAAGCTGCAGCTCTTAAGAAACATGTGCCATATTTCCTGGGGCATCCTGTGGAAATGAGCATGACTCTGCTAGGCCTGGGCTCCCTGTTGTGATTTTTGCCCTGTTAGAAGAGGATGCTGCTGAAATGACCTGTGTGGCCACAGGGGTTGGTGGTGGCCTGTCCCCACAGCAGTGGTTTTGGGCCACAGGTGTCCCAAGTGCCAGCCTGTATGCTTGGTTACCTTGCAGTGTGGCATTGTCTTAACCTGCTGTGTCTCCTAAGGGGTCCTGTCTTTAGACTGTATCTCCCTGGCCTTGTTTTAGAAGATGTGGTTAATGGTTTGCAAGCAAGAAGCATGAAAATTCACCCAAAATACCTTTCTGCTCCACCCTACAGCTAGTCACCAGACAGGAACTACCAAGTGTTTGGTTGTCAGGTGCTCTGTCATCCTGCTTTTTTCAGGATCTAAACCAGTCCCTATATGCTGGGAGTTAGAAAAGATGGAAGAGCTCCCTGGAAAGCTTGGTGCTAGCTTTCAGGGGGGTGAGGGGCCTGGCAGGGCCCTGGAACTGGGGCTGCACTTGCAGGCTGTGCAGAGCTGGTGGTGCCCCAGTGGTGTTTGCTGAGCTGGTGGTGTCCCAGTGGTGTTTGCTGAGCTGGTGGTGTCCCAGTGGTGTTTGCTGAGCTGGTTTCCCCATGGGATGCCTGGCAGGCCCCTTGCTCTGGCTGTGGTGGCTGAAGCTCTGCTGGGTTCTCCTCTTCTGCCTTCTCTCCTGAGACACTGATCCAACCAGGGAAGAGGACCTGGCCAGGGGCAAAAGCTTAGGACTGTGTGACCAGGGCTCCCTTCCCTTCTTCAGCTTCCTGAGCCAGCTCTCTTACTTCCCTGTGCCTTGCTGTCTTGCCAGCAAAGTGGGACTGTTCAGCTCCAGGTGCCATCAGCTTGTGTTTGCTGTCTGACCTACAACGTGCTTGTAGGGAAAGGACTCTTAAGAGAGGGGTTTGAAACACCTTTGGTAGAACAAGCCTCAGAACATCCCCTCAGAATAAAAATTACCAGTTCAGTGGTGTTCTTGAGGCCCCTGAAGCTGAATCTAAGCCACTCATTTACCTAGACCCTCTCTCGCTCTCAAAAAATGGGAAACATGCCTTTTATTTTGATCTGTCTTTCTCTCTTACTATTTTTTTCCTCTGGACTTGCTTCCTTTCATGCTTCAGTGGCATCATGCTCATGGGGAGCTCAGGAAAATGGAATGTGTGGTTTCCTGTCATCCCCACTGTCATGTGAGGGTTTGGTGCCTCCACTTGGGTGCTGGATTGTGGTCAGAACAAAACCAAACACTCTGTAATTGGGAATAGACACCATCTGAAGTGTCAGGAACAGGCAAAGGGAGTGACAGTGACACAGAATTGGAGGAAATGAAATCTGGGATGTCTCACTCCTGATTCAGATGAGCAAAGAATTGCTGTGTCCTGCTGCATACAGATCTCAGCAGTAACTCGAGGGAAGTACTGTTTGATGAGGATGTGTTATTTCATTGTCTCGTGGACAGCCTGAGATCTGTGACTGTCTGAACCCCCATCAAAAAGCAAAATTTGTATCTTTACACTTGGTAGTGGTAGGGAAACAATTCAATGAGTTAATTTCAATGAGTTCTCTAATCTTCCAGCCATCAAAAAAAAAGCAAGTTTTTGCACATAGAATGGCTTCCTGGGTGTGTTTTCACTCTCTGTGCCTTGTTGGCCTTAAAACCTGGCTTTAGTTGAGCCTTTCATCTCCTCGAGTGCCTGATTTGTGGAATGGTGAGACCCTGAGCAGGACACCTGGGTGAGCTCTGGGAGGCAGGAGAGGAGCCCAGCCCCTGTCACCTGCTGCTTTGTGTGGGACAGGCACCTTCAGCCCAGCTCCTCTTCCCTTTGTCTCCTGCGGGTCCCTGCTGGCACGGGACGTCTCTTGTCAACACGTGGGATGAACTCAGCTCCTCACTGGACATTTTCTTTTCCCAGGGTAAAACTCCGTCGCCACGAGCGGCTCACGCCTGCGCCACCGTGGGGAACAGGGGCTACGTCTTTGGAGGCAGATACAGGGTAAGCCCCTGCCCACTGGGACATGGGGCACTGAAACCACAGCAGAGTCTCCAGGATAGGTGAGGGGTGGACCAGCTGCAGAGCAGTTCTGAGGAGAAGGATCTGGGAATCCTGGTAGATAGGAAATGATCCATGAGCCAGCCATGTGCCCTTGTGGCCAAGAGGGCCAATGGAATCCTGGGGTGCATAAGGAAGAGTGAGGCCAGTAGGTCAGGGGAGGTCATTCTCAATCTCTACTGTGCCCTGGTGAGGCCACAGCTGGAGAACTGGGACCAGTTCTGGGCTCCCCAGCTCAGGAGAGTCAAGGAACTGCTGGAGAGAGTCCAGAGGAGGGTGACAAAGATGACTGGGGGATTGGAGCATCTCCCTGATGAGGAAAGGCTGAGAGAGCTGGGACTGTTCAGCCTGGAGAAGAGAAGGGTGAGGGGAGACCTTATCAATGCCTGCAAGTATCTCAGGGTCGGTGCAGGGAGGATGGAGCCAGACTCTGCTCAGTAGTTCCCAAGGACAGGATGAGGGGCAATGGGCACAGGCTGGAACATGGGAAGTTCCATTGGAATATGAGGAGAAGCTTCTTTAATGTGAGGGTGACAGAGCCCTGGGACAGGCTGCCCAGGGAGGTTGTGGAGTCCCCTTCTCTGGAGATACTCAAGACCGACCTGGATGCAGCCCTGTGGAATGTGCTCCAGGGGATCCTGCTTTAAAGGGGAGTTGGTCTGGGTGATCTCTGGAGGTCCCTTCCATGATTCCATGAACCATGGTCTGCTTTGTTGCAGGAGTCGAGGATGAACGACCTTTACTACCTGAATTTGGATACATGGGAGTGGAATGAGATGTAGGTACCAAAACAGGGGTTCTTTTGTTTGCACAGCAACACAAAAATGCCATTTTTATTCCCCTGCTGAAACTTGGTAAAGCCCAGCAAGTAAGAGTCAGGTAGAACTGACCCTCCCAAGGATCTTCCTACTGTTCCTGTCAGGATTTTTTAAGTATTGATATGAGTAAAATTCTTTCCCTGTCTAATGAAATAAAACCTGCCACTGGGTCATGAGGTCTGCCCAGTGTGAAGCTGCATCCTTCAAATACCTGAGCAATAACCAGAGCAGAAAAGCAGCAATGGTTTGTTGTAGTGCATGTCTAATTCCTGGTGTTTTTCCTGACATGCAGAATCACACAAGGCGTTTGCCCTGTCGGCAGATCTTGGCATTCCCTGACACCCATTTCCTCAGATCACCTCTTTCTCTTTGGAGGATTCACCACTGACAAGCAGCCATTAAGTAAGTCATTCCAAAAGGAATTTGGGTTGTCATTGTGTCTTAAGAGTTGTGCACAGAAGCTTGAATTATTGCCTCGTCACCTGGAATTCTTTCTGAATTCCTTCTGTGCACTTATAATCAGTCTCCTTATGGTCAGCAGCTAAATTAATTCCATGGAGTAGGAGTCACTGAGTGCATTGAGACACTATTATCTGTAGAAATCAGTCTGCTCTAAAAATGTATCTAATGCAAACTGCAATTAGTGAGAGCTTTGCAGTTCTCCATCTTTTTTCTCTTCTGACTTCACTCCTATAAACCATTATTAAACACCCCTTTTCAAATAGCCCAAAGTTTCATATTTCTTTTCCTAAAAGGCTTGATTTATTTAAGAAGAAAACCAGGCTCTTACACCAGAGCACATGGATTGCAGCAAACATGAAAGAACCAACAGAACTGGTTGCATTTGGGGTTTTGCTTGCTTTTTCAGGTGACGCTTGGATTTATTGTATCAGCAAGAATGAGTGGATACAGTTTGAGCACAACTATTCTGAAAAACCAAGGTAAGGTCCTACACACCTCCCTGGAAACTTACTAAAAGAGTGAGGAAGCTTTTCATGTTGGCTGTGAGAAGGGACACGTGTTCCTCTTCACAGCACTCATGTCTCTTAACAATATAATTCACCTACTGGCTTCCACCCCAGAACTGTTGGCTTATTGAATGTACATGCAAAATACAGGAGGAACAACAGCACTGTGGGGCTGGTGCTGGGATGTTGGTGTGGAGCTCCATATTTGTGGAGCAGCAGGAAAGGGGGATGTAGGGGCTGATTTTAGGGCTGCAGAGGTGTCTGAGCTGTGAGGGCAGCACAGCAGCTCCCTGGGACCTGCCTGTTCCTGCTCTGCACAGTGAACACAGGAAGGTGTCACTGCCTGAGCATCCTGGCTGGTGCTGAGCACACCCAAGGGATTTTTTGTCTTCCTGCTG